GGGGGAAAAAATAAGAACCAAGATATATCATGTACAAGTACAAGCACCCAATGATAAATGTAAACATATTATATACCTAAAATGTACCAATAAAAGAACTTAAGCCCCCCCTAAAAAAATTTACAGTGATCCTCCTGCCTCAGCCTCCCAAGTGCTGGGATTAAGGCGTGTGCCACCATGCCCAACTCTGATTACTTTCAGAGTTTCAAAATATAACCACTGGAGTCATATTACACACAGTGTTAAGAGTTCTGCTGTTTTGTTGTCATTCTTGTTTGTTGTGCTGAACTCTTGCACATGTGAGGCAAGCTTTCTACAGCCCCAAGGTGGTTCTGTTAATCCTGCCCTGCCTCCATCTCAAATTAAGGCTGAAGGGCTGAGGATTTAGCTCAGTGGTTCCGGCACCAGCCTTGCAAGCTCAAGGTCCCATGTTTGATCCCCGGTACCAAAAAAAAAAAATCAAATTAAGGCTGAAGACCTGAAAGTGGCTAACAGGGTTCTACTCATCCAGCCCCATTGTCTACCAACTTGATCTCCCACTGCTCCCTCACTTCTGGCTCCATGATCTCTAATAAGCTTCAGGATGGGAGCTTCTGGTAGTGCTGCAGCCAATGAGCAAGTCGCAAGTCACTCCATTGTTACAGAGCAGTGGGGTTTGCCAGGTAGTGAAGATGGGGGAGGGAATGTCTGCATTGAGGGAGGAGGTGTGGTATGCGGTGAATGGTGGTTAGGGCGTGGACCTCAGAACTAGAGTGCCAGGAGGAATCCCAGCTCAACCCTGGCTGATCACATGATCATGGCCAAATATAATTTAACCTCTTTGTGCCTCTCTGTCCTTATCAATAAAACTGGCATTATAATAATGCCGCCAGTGTGGCTGTTAAAAAAAAAAAAAAAGAGTTCTGCTGGGCATCATGGTGCAAGCCTGTAATCTCAGCACTCTTGGATTTATTATGTTTTTTGAAGTCTGCAAAACCTCAAGGAAGATATCATCTAAATAAAGTTTTACAGGTGCTAGATGGAAGACTATACAAGTTGCAGGAGGACAGATGACATGGAGAATATTTTGCAAAAGAGAGCATATGTGTGGAATGTAATGCCCCACCACCACCATCCCATGCCTCAGCCTCTTGACTGCTGGCATTACAGGTGTACACTACCATGGCCAGCTTAGAATAGTACAAAATTAAGAAAAGTATCCCTAATTACTGAAGAGTAAGAGTAGTGCAGTGTAGTGTGGCAGGAGAAAAGAATGTGTAAGAAATACAGTAAGAGTGGATGAGGTAGGCTGGAGACATTTATTCAGTTATTAATTATAGAAACATTAAGCACCCACCACACATGATATACTGCAAGAGATTTATCACACTACATATTTGTATTCTTTATAATCTTGTAGACTACTAGAAAAACAAACTTGTAAAGCTATTACAACAGGATGAATAGGAAGGTGTTTACGAGAACCTTATCTTTCCTGTTTTTCTTTTTGCAGTGTTAAGTATTGAACCCAGGGCCTTTCATGTACTAGGCAAGTGATCTACCATGGACTGATATCCCCAGCTCTAGAGGTTTTTTTGTTGTTTTGTTTTGTTTTGTTTTTGAGTACTGGGAACTGAACCTTGGGTCTGTGCACTGGGCCATATCCCTAGCTTTTTTTTTGAGCCAGGGTCTGGCTAAATTGCCCAGGCTAGGAGTGAACTTGCAATCGTAGAGTCCTAAGATTACAAGTATGTACCACTACAAGTGGACTCCTAGGACAACTTTTTTTTAGAACAACTTTTAAGTACAGTATCACTTCTAAGTTTTTCCTTCCTTCCTCAGGAAGAGTAAATTTTTCTCCCCTGCCATGCTTTCACAGCCCTGTGTTTATATTACCATTAAAATACATTTCTGAGGTAGAAGGGACAAGATGTTTCTGACTACATGCGAATAGTGAGGATTTAGATGCTAAGAGCTAACTAGCAAGTGAAGGATGTTAGAATGGAGTTTGAGGCCAGTCTAGACTACATACTGAGTTCAAGGACAGTCTGAACTACATAGCAAGACTGTCTAAAGAAAGCCAAGTTCAAGAAAAAAGTAACAGCATGCAAAGAAGCATGACTATTTACTGAGAAAAAAGAAATTAACAGAAAGTGTCCACAAAGCCTAGATATTGGACTTATTATACAACGATTTTGTTTGTTTTGAGACAGGGTCCCACACACCATGTAGTTCAGGCTGTTCTTGAATTCACTATGTAGCCCAGGCTGGCCTTGAACTTGCAGCAATCCTTCTGCCTCAGCCTCCCAAGTCCTGGGATTACAGGCGTGCACCACCACACCGAGCTATATAAAGATTTTAAATCAACCATTTAAAATATGCTCAAAGTGCTAAAGGAAACCATCAACAAAGAAAAAGAGGAAACCAGGAAAATGATACCTATCCAAACAGAAACTATTCCAATGAAGATATAGAAATAATCAAATAAAACCAAATAGAAATTCTTAAGTTCACAATTACCATAACTGAAATGAAAAATCCATTAGAGTAGCTTCTCAGCAGATTTAAGCAGGGAAAAGAAAGAATTGTTGAGTTTGAAGACAGGTAAATTGAGATTCAGTTTGAGAAGGCCAAAAAAAAAGAACGAAAACAAATGTCCAAGAGACCATTGGGATACCACAACTGTATCAACAAATGCTTAGAGGTTACAGACAGGTCCAAAACCTCCA